CAGCACTAGCAGGTGATGTCATTACACTTGTCTAAACTTCATGTGAGCGAAGAAATACGCTTGAAAACAACTGCAAACCTCCTGCAGACACATCACTGTCCATGCTGCTCCACCAACTATAGGTGCAACATGGTCATCCATCTAACAATTGTGTTTGCATGTATGTATGTTATTATTTAGGACTGATCTACAGAGAAAAGGGTTTACACCATCACCCATGAGTATGATCTGTAACAGAAAACACACATAGAAACAAGTGAATGCCACACAAACCATTTATTCAAAACGTCCTCTCTGTGTCACTCATTTATAGAAAGAGGAGAAAAATTTATCCTCTGACTTCAAACTACCAGATGTAACTGTATAAAAACACTTTTATATGGTTCAGATATAATCCCCTTTATGGTGTTATTAAAGAAGGAAGCTTCCATTCTTGCTCTTTGCAGAAGAAAAAATAGAAATATCTTTTGTCCTGAGCAGCACTGCAGTAAATAATTGTATTAATGTACATAAAGGGATAGCTCAAGATTTTTAGAAAGGGTTTCTGTTAAAAAGTTCCAAGCAGTTATTGCTCTCTAATGGTTTATCTTGGTGTTTTTATTAACTATCAAGGTTTCAAGGTTTACCGAACCCTGATGCTAAAGCTAATGGCTACACCATCAGGGGTCAAGTCCAGAGAAGACCTCTTTCATTAATAACTCCTGTTTAAAAACCATCACAGCTATCACTATGTAATGAACCTTTAATCGGTCATCATGTTTGGAGTGTGTAGCTATTTTCAGAGCAGCTGATGATTATGTTCTTGGGAAATGAATGAATATGCCACCAATGATCCTATCTGAGTACTGAACACAGAACTTGTGATCACAGTGACTGTCTCATCAAAATGGTACAAACACAAACACCCAACTCTGTGTTGTCACAGAGTTGGGTTTAAGACAACATACTTGTTCAATTTTACATTTAAAAGGTGTAAAGTTAGATTCCTACTAGCTTTAATTTCAGTACACACAAATGCACTGGGAACATTTTCACTTTTATTTCAAATGGAAAGTTGAACTATTGAGATTTGGTCTGGAAAGCATTTACTGTGAGAAACAAGGTACAACCTGGACAGGTTGCAATACATACATGTCAGCATCCTGTGAATCGCAAAGATAATATTTAATTGTAGAAAGTTTGTTGCTCATTACTGCTTCATATCTGTGTTACATGAAGGGACGGCTAGACTATATTTATTAGTTCTTTTTGCACTTCTTGGTTTTTCTTTTGAAAAAGCAAAGTTGATATGACGCTACCAGTTTTATACTGTATTCCTTGTAGTAATCCAGGAAATTGAAATAATGATTTTTACTCAGTTATGATGTCTCGTTCTCTGTCTTGTGTTATAAGGTCGTAATCTCTTCTAGTGTTTAGATGAACTCAGGTTGAGCCATGGTCTCTGGCTTAATCTGAGCCAGATTGAGCCGGAAGTTATGTGTTTGGTGGCATATGATAAATATGGCCGACACCCGCCCACGCACGCACACACAAAGGTCCTGTTCAACATTGTGAAATGGTGACCTTCGAGCTGTGAGGTCACCACACTTCACCCAAGTGTGTATGGATTAAATACATAACATTTGTCATATCAGTATTGCAGGTGTGACATTTCTTTTCAAAATACCTTCAGTGGCACTGATACTCAAACTTTTTCAATGGAGAGAAGGACAGAAGAAAAATGAGGCATCATGCTGAGGAATCATGCATGCGCACATTGAGTAAGAACAAGCCGTCCTTAGTTTTCATATTTGTTTCGAGGTCAGTGAATTTTTTCACCTGTCTGTGCAGATGAAGGAAATGGGTGTTTTAATCAAATCAGGAGAGGAAAATGAGCTGCCAACAAGGCACCTTTTAAAAGAGCAATCACCATCCAGCAGGGATGGACTGCATGTGAAGGGCGCCTGAACACTGAACGCCAGCACTGTACTCTGCCGACACACACACACACGCACGCACACACACACGACAGTCAAAACTGTTCATCATTTTTCACCTACAGTTTAACTGACTTTAACTACAGCCATGCTTGAGGACGACAATGAACAGCTCTGATGGAAATGAATCCTTAGGAATGTTCAGGGAAAACGTTTTAGTGTTTACATGCATTTAGTTCCATCTATCTTCCCATCAAGAAGCATTCCCACAGCATGATGCTGCCAACACCATGTATCACAACATGCACAGGCACCTCCTTCTTCCACATCTTTGAAGGGTCCTCTGCAAAGCTTGCAGGGAAACCTTTACATTGAATCTTTTGAGAGGCTAAATAACTTAGTTTGTAAAGTAAATATTTAACTTGACAACAAAATATTTAGTTATCAAATATTTAGTTTGGAGCTAAATGTTTAGCTCCTTTCTAAATATTTACATTGGAGCTGCATATGGTGAAAGTATGATTTTTCAAAATGAACTCACATTTTTGTTTTTAAGACAGGCTAAATAACCCAAATTATTGCTGTTCCTTTTTTACTATAAGTGTAGAAAAGGCAGTCTTATTGAAGCAGTAATTGTTATAGAGATTTTTTTGTAATTTTCAGCAGGCTATGCGGGAAGCAAAAATAAATTACGATAAACAATTTATTTTTACAAATCAGCTTCTTCTGAAAATCTGTGTACCTTTGAATTTATTGAAGGGATGACATGCTTAAAAAAATTCTGCAAGTCGTGTTGCATGAAGAGTGATTGTAAACGTTTGCGCTGCCCAGGCAAAGACACCAATTTGAAGAGTCTTCATTTAGAGCCAGGCTCCATAAAAGATAATGAAAATGTCACAGAGCCTTATGTAATTTGTAAGCACTGACAGCTTTCCCACAGAGGTGATAACTATTGTTAACTGGTGACATTTATAAGCAATGAGAGTGTTCTCTTTAATAGGCAGGGCTATGTTAAAAAGGCCCAGTTACATGAGATAGAAATTTTCATTTGACAACAGCTTACGTAAGCTCTGTGTGTTTTATTGGACTTTTATAAAGATGTCAAAGCGGAACAAATGAAAATTTATTCATGCAATGAAAATAACAGGAAGATTTTAACCACATCATATTCTGACCATCGGGTGATATCTTTCTAGATTTTGCAGGCAAAACATTTTGGGCGGATAAACTGCTTTTTGAATTGCAGCAAAGTTGTTGCAGCTTTTTTAATTAGATCCACCATACTGCTGAACAGAAGAGAAAAGTAAACTGCTGCTGCTGCAATGCCTATATTAGCTCTGTTTATATTGTTAAATAGGACAGGGTTTGAATGACAGAGATAAAAATGGATGCTTTATGCTGTACTTAGCTAATAACGCTGCTGTTTCCCACTAAGTAACTGACTGAAGCTGGCTTTGAGGCTGACTGCAGATAAGCATCTACTTTATAAGGATGTGCATAATGAGCAGCTGTATACATAAACACTTGTGCTCCTTACAAAAGCTGACATGTTAACTTGGAAAACGTATGGCTGCTGTGAAGCTGAACATGCGGCAACAAATGTTTGCTCCATTGACAGCAAACATTTGCTTGTTTTTGACAAAACCAAACTTTTGGCAAATTAAGACATCATATTTATAGCTAATTTTGGATGCCAGTTGCTGGAGTTTAGACAGTTCCAACAAGTTTATTGTTTTATTTTCTAAACTTGCAAAATAGCAAGTTTAGAAAAACCCTGTAATTAAGGCGAACTATCTATGGATGATATTTGAAAGAGATGTCTGAGGGAAATTTGTATCAGCACAATCTATTTCCTTGCTGGTTATTTAAAGCAGGGGCTCCCAAAGCTTTCCACACCATGGCCCCCACACAGCACTAACCTCTGGCCAGGGACCCTCTCTGCAAACACACAGTCAATGCTACAAAATATGTTAAAAAAAACCCCAAAATAAACAAAAAAAACCAAAACATTTTATTCATTATTGAATAATCTTTACATTCATTTTGCATTAATGCTGTGTAATGTCAAAACTTTGTTTTATTCCAATCAATCAAATCCATCTATAAAGCACCCTTCATGTTGGAGGCAGCTCACTGGAAACACATAATAAATGGTATTTCTTAACTGGGTTTGAACCATCCAGGGTCACAGACTGCAGGTGCAAATACCAGAGCTGTGAATTAAATTAAACAGAAACTGGTGGGAATCTCTCTTTTGCTCCAAGAGGACGGGTGGATATTAAAAGCAATGTTTCTTAATCTTTTCTTAACTTCCCTGGATTAGCCAGGGGAGTCATTGCTCATATTCTTTGGTTAATTTCTTAATAAACTAATAATCAAAATGCATTTTGATTTGTTCTTGATCGACTCAGTGTTAGCATGCTGCCTCAAACCTTTTGATTTCAGATGGCCTAGAGTTCTATGGTGGAAGATTTTACTACCAGATAGAACAAATTTTCATCACAATCCCCTCTTTTGAGAAAAAAAAATCATATTTTACATTAATCACATCAGATGTTATTTGATCCCCACAATTCTTATGGGTTTTTTACAGCAGTGTTCTCCACAGCGGGTCTCCAGGACGGTTCCTTTGGTCTTTTCTCATCAGAAACTTTTCGGTTTTTTTTTTGGAAGCAAAACAAGCTTTTTGAATTTGACTGGCTCTTCTGTAGTTAACACAGGCCCTGCGGCTGGAAGTTGGCCCCTGTCTCTTTAATAAACAAAATCAAATCGGACCTTGTGGGGTTTGAAAGTGCAACTCAAAGTAATGTGTTCCTGATGTTGAAATCATCAGGAACACACACATGCTTCTTATTTCACAATACATGTGTGTGAATGTGTGTGTCATGTGGCATGCTGTGGTGCAGTGCATGTGTTTGGGATAAAGGGAGTAAAATTCACATTTTAAGGATTCCTTTAAATTGAAGTCACATTATTACATTTGTTTCTTTCTCCAGTCTCAGTTACATAACCAAGAAAAACACTTGACCAGACATTTAATTAACAGTGCTTGAGTGATTAGTGGGACAGACTCAGCAGCCCTACCTTTGCAATGGTTTCGTGGAACTTGAACAATGGGTCGAGTGTTTCTGGCGACTCTGCAGAGAACTGGGCCTCTGACAGGAAACCGGTGGTCTGAAGAGCAAAAAGGAATCGTTAAACATGTTACAAATGAAGCTTTTACATTTTTTTCAATCAGTCAAAACCAGGGGTGTCAAACTCCACAGTCCTTAAGGGCCACTGGGTGCCCTGCAGCTTTTAGATGTGTCTCTGCTGCACCACCTGAATAGAATAATTAGGTCATTAAGGCTCTGGAGAACTGATCTACACAAGGAGGTCATTAAGCCATTTCATTCCAGTATTTTGTACCTGTGGCACATCTAAACACTGCAGGACAGCGCCCCCTGAGGACTGGAGTTTGACACCTGTGGTCTAAACTAATCTCAGTCACTTTGCAGGTAATTTGACCTCATCAACAAAACTTCAATAAAAACCTTGGTCTTTAAACATAAGTATCTGTACTAGACTATGAAATTATTATTTATTATTTCACAGGGTTCTTTTTTTCAGGGTTTCTTGTGTGTTGGTGTTGCTGTGTGAGTAACACAAGATATGAACCAAAGATCTTGAGATTAAACCAAACTGGGAGCTGAATTTGTCACTGTTACTACGGTAACGGAGCCTCATCCTAACCAAACACTGCTTTGGTGTGTTGAAAGGAAGCTAAAACGAATCAGAACATTTTGGCTGTGTTCAGACTCACAGGGCCTCACTCTGAGCACACACCTGTGGATTAGCAGCCCTGCTCACCTCCTCCCAGCTAGCTCAGAGCCATTAGCCTTAGACATGCAGTGCTAAAGAGCAGGCCAAATCAAGCACTCTGTTCTATACTTCACAGGGGCAGCATGAATAGGCAGGGAGAACTGAAGGTTTTAAACAAAGGAGCTTCAGCCAAGATCAAAGACACCTGAGTTTTGTTCCCATTAGAGGCCTTTGTGTTGCTAATCTACACCTCACTTCATCTTTCACACAACAGGAGCTCGCCATGCCTTCATCTCATGCCTACTTTTTTCCTTTCAGCTTTTTTCCTGGTAAGAATTTAAATAAGAATTGCAAAGAAATACATCATTAGAGGTTCATATGAACAAGCTGCTAAATTGGTTAGAGTGAGTTACATCACTAATGGTTTATAAAGGGCCTATCAAAGCATAGAAAATGTTAGCTCATTGTGAGAGCTGCAAACCTTGTAAATAAAACTCACCTATCAGCCCTGCTGATGTTTCTTATGTCATCATATGTATCAACTGAGGTCTGGGAAAATGAAGAGATCACATCATGATCTCCATTTATGATGTCTATTTCAGTTTCAGTTGGATTTGAATAAAAGCACACCCTATTCTTCTAACTGAAGTGGCTGATTAGCTAATTACCTGAACCAAACATTTTATGTAAAGAAGGTGAATATTAAAATTACTGCCATGGTCATCAATAGGACCAGCAGTATTCCAACACAATGTTGATGGTACCTAAGATAGAAAGGCAGGAGGAAGCTCATTTTTTTCTGTCACCTTTTTGTTGCTTTTATCTACTAAGATGCTTTACACATTTTAATTTAAAAAGGACATATTATGTATTTCCAGGCATATTGTACTGTTGTTTAGCACAGTCAGGTCACTATGTTATCTTTAGTTGTGATAAAAAAGATAAATATATCTAACATGACTTATAGTTTCACACATAGAAATTGGACCTCTGTCGCTTTAAAACTCTTGCTCTCTATAATGAGCTCAGCAAAAGAGCAGTTTCACCAGCTGTTTGCTAATTGCTGTTGGCTAGTCTGAAGGAGTTGAATGGGGAAGTGGAGGTAAGGGCTGCTCTGTGAGGTGAAAGCTTGAAGTTTAGTCTGCAGCTGCAGAGGAGCTGCACCTCAAAGACACGGCGAGATCCAACCAGCTGTTTTGCACAGATGAATGGTTGCTATGGAGATTAAACTTTTTCTTCTTAGATTTCATACATTTTTGACAATTAAACATTCAAATGACGTTAAAAAAAAAATGTGATAATGTATCTTGTTACTTACTGTATCAAAATGTTCTTCATATGTTGCATGAAAATGCCTTGTTTTGTATTTTTACTTTAAAATAATGCTAAGCAATGTTTTAAAATGCAATGGCCAAATTTCTTACAAGCTGTGGTGAACATAAAATTTCAGCAGACAACAAAGAGCTGCAGAGCTCCTCATTGGTGCTAAACTCAAGTAATTTGTTATGTTTACTTTAAAATCTAAAATAATCAAATAATCAAATTGAAATAGGATTGAGATTCTCTAAAACACACTTTGACATTTGTGAAAACAGAAAATCTCCTTTTCCCTGAGGAAAAAGGTTATTTTGTTTCACCCAAAATGTCTAAAATCTTGTTTCATCTTTTGAGCTCTTAGGATTTTGTTTTTTAAATCTCATTTCATTGGCCGGATGCATATGCACTCTGTCAGTTTTAATTCTGAACTTTGCTCATGATTTGGAGATGCTACATTTATTATAAAGAACTTATAATCTATTTTCAAACTAAAGGGATTTCCACATTTTCCCAGCAAAAAGTTTGCTACTTTCAATGCTTTAGTTTGAAAGTAGCTTTGAATTAATGCTTTAGTCTTCCTGATTTGTCCCACAGACAGATTTTTTGGGTGACTATTAGATTAGACTGGGAGTAATCAAGGTTTGTGAAATTACAGTGAGCATTTGACTTTTTTAAATCAAATTTAATTTGACGTAATTTGAAAACTGCTTTTTGTTTTGACTAAGTTTGTCTTTATCCAATATTACAATTTTTAAAAAAATAAAACAAATAATAAATTGAATAAAATGAATAAAAACCACACAGTTGTTATTGATTAACTGCTTGTGAGGCCTAACAAATTCTCTGATATTTACATAAGTTAAATTATGCAAGAAAACGGTTGCATGCATCCAGAAATACAAAAGTTAAGAGCTTAGTTAGTATATTGAAGAAATATTTTAAAGTCACATATGGCAGAAGAAAACAGGGGAAAACAGACAGTTCAGCTGATACTCAGGACAGAAGCAGTTGAGATAACAATGTTAGAAAGAACAAAGGGAAGGAAGAGTAAAAGACAAAAAAGGAATGATTAAAAAATCTTTGAGTGTTCATGAGGTTAATGTAGTGAATCCTTGTAAAATGAACATGCAGACAAACATCCACTTTCATCACAGAAAGTGGAGCGGAGCAAGGAGAGGCGCTGCATCGCTGAGCTTAGTTCCACCTGAGCTGGATTGCCATTGATTTTTTTTTTTCTGCCTCTCATTTCTTAGTGAGGATCCCATCTGTCCATCTCCTTTCTCCCTGTCTTTCCAGGTGCTGAATGTAATTGGATTTTCTCACTGTAAAACTGTGTGTTTAAAACTCTTCTGGAGCTGGAGTTTGGACAGCCAGTCAAGCTTGGAAGCTAAGCTGAAAACAACAGATAGAGAGACTTCCCCAACGCCTGCCATTTGTAAACAATTCAGAGTCTAAACATAGGTATCTGTTTTTGGACTATCATTTTTTAAAGATAATCTGTTGGTGATTGCTAAGTAACTAAATAGAAAAAATGTTAAAGCTGCCAAAGTGAAAAGTCAAACTGTCCACAGTAAATACATATTATTGAAGGTAAACATTTCACTTTATTTGTTGGCATTTTTATCTTGAAAATACCAAAACAGCCCAGGCTACTTACAGGTAAGACCAGATGTTTACATACACTGTAAACCCTCAGTTTCTCACTGTCTGACATTAATGTGAACGCTTTACTGTTTTAGGTCAATTAGAATACCAGTGATTCCTATTTTTTAAATGTCACAAGAAAAGACCATTTCAAATTACTTTCTTCAGTCAGAAGCTTCTACACTCTATCACTTTGTTTCTAAGTAACAATAACAATTCCAGATAACGTCGTGGCTTTGCAAGCTTCTGATAGGTGAACTCACAGAATGCAACAGGAGCTAAATCCTATGAAGGACATTTAGGACAGCAGCTCAAACACTCTGCTGTGTTTAGGTTTGAAATGAGCATATTAACGTCGGATCAAAGGCAAAAGTTCTCATGAAGATTCTGGATGAAGCTGGTAAAAGAAGAAAGTTATCCTCAGCGATATGATCCTATCTCCATTATTATTATGCTCCTTATTAATATTATAGCCTTGATTCTATTTTTACTTTACTTAAGTTCTGAATGATTCTAGTTCATTATGTTTATTCCTAGTGCATAATTTTGTTACCGTTTGATTTATTTTCATTTCTCCTCTGGTGTGTACTCTCCTTCAGTTAGTCAGGCCGGTCCACTGTTCCAGCATTCACATTCCTAGTTTTTATTCATGTCTATCATTCCTCCTCACTGGTTCCTCCTGTTGAAATCAGTTCGTTTCCCCATTCCTTCCCAGTGCAGCCCTGCTTCCTTTCCACTTCTACATCAACACCACTCACAACATGACAAGATAGGTGCACTTCATGATACATGTGACATAATTACACTTTTTTCCTTTTAAATAGCTACAATCCTGTCAGACTGGATGAAGAGCCACTGTGCTCAAATTCTCATTTGGATTTATGTCTTTACTTTGGTTAGGCCCTTCTACGACATGGAAACTTAAGTCTTTTGTAGTTTTTAACTATTTTTTTACATCCAGATTTGTTCAGCATGTTGCTTCTTCTTTCTTTTTGTCAACTCTAACCAGCGCTTCTATGCTTGTGAAACCCTGCAGCTGCTCTCACTCTGTATTATATAAGATTCATTCTGCAACCTCTGATTATCCCTTACAGTTCATAACTGCTAAAAGTTAGTGAGGTAAATCAGGAACATAATGTGACTTAACTTTGATGGGGGCCATCGCATTGAGTGTGAAGCATGAAGATGACAAATAGATCATGGACAGAAAGGATGATCTAAACATAAACTGAAGTATGTGTCATGTGACAAAATGGGAAAACAATTGGAGGTGTTTTCGCCTCCAATTATGCCAAATGATGTCAGTTGGAGTCCAAACCCCTTAAAACCATTCCCTCCTTCTTATTAGTAGTTTGTGTTTAATGTTTAACATTTTGAGGCCTTGGTTTGCTTTAACCATCAGCTCAACACCA